GGTGATGGGTATTGAGTAGGGCACCTTTTGGGATGAGCACTGGGGGTTCTATGGAAACCAATTTGACAATAAACTTCCTATATTGAAAAATAAATAAATAAATGAACATTTAAAAAAAAAGAGAAAGTGCTTCAGGGACTCTACCTTGCTAGGCAGGCTGCCCCTCTCCCGCTCCGACTCCCTCTTGCCAATCCTTGTAGTCTGCATCCCCTCTCTGTCCCGCATAACCTCTTCCATGGGCCTCTTGTCTATGCTTGGCTCCGGAGAGTCTGCTCTGCTAGTCTTCTGGCAGTTTTCTGGGTTATTTAGGCATATGTGGGTGGAATCTATGTGAGATGAGCCCAGTGTCCTCCTACGCCACCATCTTCCCAGAACTCCCCTGAACATGTTAAAAGAGTGTTGGTAGGCAAGTGTCTAATTGGATTTCAAATGGTATCTAATATTCTTACCAGTATCTAAAGAGCCTGTTACTCCATGTGACCTTATGTTTCGTTTCTTTTCTTTTAGGTATCTTTTATTCAAAACCTGGTATTTTGTGTAGAAAGAGTTTACCGTGTACCTGACTTTGGTGTCTGGGAAAGAGGCAGCAAATATAATAATGGCAGCACAGAACTACATTCAAGGTAATTTGCTGATTTGAGTGGTTTTTTTGTTATTTAAATGTGTAGAATTTGAATAAAAATCAAAGTACTAGATTGCAACTGTATTATTTGTCTTTTCATCTCTTATTTTTCTATATATGATAACAGATGAAATTCACTTAAAATTAAAGCAAGAAATTACTCTCAGTGCCCATATACAGGTCCAAGAAAAAGTACGGTATCTTTCCCAACCTCTCATGATGTCAGTATATGCATATCAGCCTCCAATCCAAGTCTTGGCCTTTCTGCTAAACCAAATCTTTCTTTTTCCTTTTTGAAATGACGCCATTTGAAAGATCAAATATATTAGGATTGTCAAACACCAAATGTATACACATTTCATGTAAAATTCCCTTCCATATTGTAGAGCTGATTTTTTTTTATCCTAATCAGATACACCTTTCATATAAAACTGAACATTTTTTTTTTCTGTAGGTGGTGTGATCAACATCTTGAGTTCTGGTTTAGTGGGCTTGATAAACAATGATAACTGATGACTGATGTTAGTGGTGTATTAATTTCCTTTACTCCTTATGGTGAGAGAAATAGCTTTAGTAACTGACTGTACCTTTCAGATATCCAAATTTTTTGCCTGGTAGGTTATCTTTTAACTGAAAAATATAGCTCAATTGCACCATAAATAAAATACCTAGGAATAAACTTAACCAAGGAAGTGAAAGACCTGTACTCCAAAAAGTATAAAACACTGATGAAAGAAATTAAAAATGATACAAAAAAAGGAAAGATATTCTATGTTCATGGATTAGAAGAACCAATATTGTTATAGTGTCCATATTACTCATAGAAATCTACAGATACAATTACAGATGTAATTCCTATCAAAATTCCAGTGACATTTTTCACAGAACTAAAACAAATAATCCTAAAATTTTATGGAATTACAAAATACCCCAAATATTGAGAAAGAAGAACAAAGCTCGTGGTATCACAATTTCATATTTAAAGATATACTACAACGCTGTAAAACCAAAACAGCATACGAGTGACACAAAAATAGACACAAAGATCAATGGAACAGAACACAGAGCCCAGAAATAAATCCATACTTATATGGTCAATTAACCTGCATCAGAGGGGGAAAGGATACACAATGTTATACGAATGGTACTGCAAAAAATGGAAAGCCACATTGGAAAAGAATGAAACTGGATCAGTTTCTTAACATAATACACAAAAATAATCTCAAAATGGATTAAAGACCTAAATGGTGAGGCCTGAAACTCTAAGAGTCCTAGAAGGAAAACTGGACAGTGTTTTTTTTTTTGACATTAGCCATAGAAACATTTTTCTAGATATGTCTCTAGAGGTAAGGGAAACAAAAACAAAGTTAAACTATTGGGACTACACCAAAATAAAAAGCTTTTGCCCAGTGAAGGAAACCACTAACAAAAAGGCAGTGTACTGAATGGGAGAAGATATTTGCAAATGGCATGTCTGATGAGGGGTTAATATCCAAAGTGTATAAATAACTTATACAGTTTAACACCAAAGAAGCAAAGAATTTGATTTAAAAATGGGCAGAGGACCAGAATAGACGTTTTTCAAAGAAGACATACATGTGGCCAACAGTCACATGATAAGATGGTCAACAGCACTAATTATCAGGGAAATGGTAATTGAAAGCACAATAAGATATCATTCTACACCTGTCAGAATAGCTAAAATAAAAAACATAAACCACAAGCATTGACAAAGATGTGGAGAAAAAGGAATCCTTGTGTACTCTTGGTGGAAATGCAAATTGGTATAGCCTCTGTGGAGAATAGTATAGAGTTCCTCAAAAAATTAAAAATAGAATTACCATATGATCCAGTAATTCCACTATTGAGTATTTACCCAAAGAAAATGAAAACACTAATTTGTAAAGATATGTAAACCCCAAATGCCCATTGATAGAGGAATAAATAAAGATGGGGAAGGCCACACACACACACACACACACACACACACACACACACACACACACATATATAGGGATGTTATTCCGCCATAAAAAAGAATGAGATATTCCCATCCACAACAACATGGATGGACCCAGAAGGTATCATGCTAAGTGAAATAAGTCAGAGAAAGACAAATTCCATATGATATCACTCATATATGGAATTTACAAAACAAAACAAAGATAAAAAGAGAAAAACAAAAAACCAACTCTTAAATGCAGAGAACAAACTGGTGGTTGCTAGAGGAGAGGTGGCTGGGGGGATTGGTCAAATAAAGAGAATTAAGAATACACATACCTTTAAAATTTATTCTTTAAGTAGGCCTCATGCCCAATGTGGGCCTTGAATTTATGACTCTGACATTAAGAGTCACATCCTTTACTGACTGAGCCAGTCAGATGCCCCAAGAGTATACGTATCTTAATGAGCACTGACTAATGTATATAATTGAGTCATTATATTGTGCACCTTAAACTAATATAACACTGTGTTAATTATCCTGGAATTAAAAAAAGAAAAGTATAGTTCAATTAATTAGCTCAATCCAATTCACACTAAAAAACTTATTAAGAGCTTAATGGTTATCAGCTATAGGTCAGTTTAGGTCAGTGAGACTTAAATGAACTAGAGAAACAGTGTAGGAAACACTGGTTAAGAGGATATACTTTTTTGAATACAAGGACTAATCACACACACAAAAATTAAGCTGATATAAGATACTTAGTAAACTAAAAATTGGGTCCAGGTCATTAGCTGTATACTATCCCTATGCCTCAGTTTCCTTCTCTACAAAATGAAGACAATAATAGTTTCTACTTTATGAAGTTGCTATAATGATTAAGTTAATATATACAAATAATTTGCACTAGAATGCAGGTGTACTCACACATTTCAGAATATGTTAATAACAAATATTGAAACAAAGAGGTTTTTCCTATTAACTCTGGGAAAGTAATATACACACATTTTTCTATAAGTTTTATGATTTATATGAGGCATTTTGAAGTATAGAGCAGAATACTAGCAATCAGAAAAGAAGTCAGTGAAGTCAAGAAATGATTTGTGGGAAAGTTCAGTTCAGACATTAAACAAATTCTGGAAAATACTAAAAATACGAAAATAAATAGGAAGTTATATTTCAGCTATCATTCAAATTAAGTTCTTAACACTCCAGATTATCATTCAAATTGTAAGAAAAAGTGGATCTAATTAGAAAAGATGATATTTTAAAATGTACCTTTACAGTATTTATGATTTATCAGCCCCCTTCTCTGCTTTTTTTGTTAACTATTTTGTATATTCCAATGTGAACCCAGTGACATTTTCAGTATAAAATATTTAGAGTTTGGCATTCTCTGTTTACAAAAAAAAAAAAAAAATGTAAACTCAGAATGTACCTTGAGTTAAAGTTAACATTACCCCTAGAAAGTGAGGGTATTGGAATGTCCCCAGTGAAAAAAAACAGAAACTCCAACATGTGTAACTGAAGTGCCAACCTTTAAATTGAATCATTAAGGATTTTATTTCAAGGCTCCGAAGATCATTATGTAATGTTCTCTGCTATCTTTTGCTTGCAAAATCAATCTTAATTTGTGGCATGTTAGTTTTATTCAAATGGATGGGAAATGAAGTTTGCTATTTGGATTTGGATGATGGGTTTTACACATTTAACATTTCTCTCCTACTTTTCTATGGTGTATCACTTTACAATTCCCCAAAAAAGAACTTTAAGCATTTTTATTTTCCCCCAAACATTACTGAACTCAGGTCTCCACATGTGTGTTTTGGGTGTGTCATGTCTGGTGCCAAAAGAGTCTGTTGTAAAATCGCAGAATTGAGCCTCATGGCCCTCATGGACTCAGTGATGGCAGTGGTGGTAGGAGGCTGGTAGCCTCTGCTTACACGTGGGTAGTGGAATGTAGAGCTGCTACGAACCGGGGACTCTGTCTCTTGTTGCTAAGACATCCCAGAAATATCTCTTCCTAGTTGTATGTGTTTTTTACTACTTAATACAATATCCTTTTTATATAATTAAGCTGTTCCATAATTTCAGACATCCTGAAATAGTATATGATAATTCTTGCTATAAGAACTCATACTTCTCTGTGTTCTGACTTTCTTTGCCTCTCTTCATCTCTAGGCCATTCAGTCTCCTTGGCAGGAGTCAGAGAAAGAGCACAATCTGACTAGTTCCGGTGCTCACCAAGGCCTTGGCCAAAGTGACTGTCTTGAGAAATGTTTCTTTCTTTCCTTGCCACACTGCACACATCCCTTCTAAGCTGTACCTTGTGCAAAAAAGATTACCACCTCTGGGCCCCCACTACACATTCACATAGTATTCTGAGGTCAGAGGCTCCCTCTTCAGCATCCATACTCAGGTGTTCTTTTTTTTTTTTTCAACGTTTATTTATTTTTGGGACAGAGAGAGACAGAGCATGAACGGGGGAGGTGCAGAGAGAGAGGGAGACACAGAATCGGAAACAGGCTCCAGGCTCTGAGCCATCAGCCCAGAGCCCGACGCGGGGCTCGAACTCACGGACCGCGAGATCGTGACCTGGCTGAAGTCGGACGCTTAACCGACTGCGCCACCCAGGCGCCCCTAAGGTGTTCTTTAATCATTGCAATCTGTGTCTCTGTACAGTTATAGTATGTTTTTTTATTTAGTCCACACAGGGAACATATTACTGTCTTTTATGGGAGGAAGCTAAAGGTTAGAAGGTTTTGTGATTCTCCTCCCACATACCTTAAATAGTGCAAATCACTGTGTGGTACAGCTAGAACTGGATTCCAGGTGTTTGGCCTTCAAATGAAAGTTGTTTCTACTGGATCATGTTGTAATTTAAAGTCTTAAAAAGTTTTCTAAAGTTTGAAATAGCATAGGTGTGCAATCGTGGTGAAATTTTGATAAGTTTTAAAGATATCTTTAATCATTAAAGTTTGATTTAGCTCAATGCTTTGGTCAGTCCCTTCCCAATCTCCTCTTTTCAGTCCCAGGTTTGCTGGTATCTATCTCTTTTA